AAATAATTTAAATAATATATGAATCAAGAGTTTGATGACTAGTTAACATTAAACGTGGAACTTGGGTATTTGTTTTTCTGCTCTTCTTGAAGCAACGACATTACTTATAATTTTTCGTGCAAAAATCCATTACTTATAATTTTGATTTTCTAAATAAAAGGGATCAAAAGTTTAATATTCTTTTCACTTATGCATAAAGAAAGTGTGTCTGACAAGTAGCATAAATATCAATGACAAAAGATCCATTTCTGGTGACCCAAGATAAATGTCGAATAAAGGTTAAAAAAAAAAAAAGAGAGAGATAAATGTCCCATACATATCAACAAAAGAATGACATGCCATGCCTTTTAATTTTATACTAGCAGTTATTGCTGGACCTTTTCAAGGTTTTCTATAAGAAAGCTAATCTATGTATATTGATGAACGACCTGAAAAGTTTTAATAAATCTTATTGGTTGTGAAACATGAATAGTGTAGTTCATTATTTATGGAATGCATGAAATTCCACGCTAGCTTTACAAAATATTGGAACTATTGTCATATTTAAATTTAAATATGATATATTTCTCATCTTTTTTTTTGTTTTTGAAAAAAAAATAAATTCATGCTCTGCATGTGCATGATAATATAAAATTGTTATTAAAAAAATAAGCATCAATATAAAACATATAGCAAGTGTCACTTTTTTTAAATAATTATGAATAATGCCAGCCATGTTTAAAATTTTATAAATATGATTTATTTTATATTATATTATATATAGATATATAAATTGCGCAGTTGCATTTATAATGGTTTTTAACTCATGAATAACCAAATGCCCCATCAAACAATTTTTTTTTTACTAAGAGCGGAAATAATATTTTATTGATAATTGGAATAATAACTCATGTCATGATGCCATAAAAAAAATTGATAACTCATGAGTCATGTTGCTTGAATGTATTGCTAATTTGTGGGTTGGACAATGCCTCTTAAACACGTCCGTCCGTTTTGTATTAATGACAAAACTTTCAACTGTTTTGTTATTTTTTAAGTAAAATTATAAAATTAAAGAAACATTTATCATTTTTTTAAATTACTCCTTATAAAACCAGAGTTTATTTTCCACAAAACAAACTTGATTTCTTCACATGTTAAAGACTAATTGTAAGGGTACTTCAATCCAAAATTTTCAATTTTTAAATATAATTATTATGCTTGACCCATATTTTTAAAATTATATGAGATGATTATAATTTGCTTACATTTAAATATGGAAGGAGTGTCAACTAAATTAAATCATACTATTATTCATGAATCACAACTTCTAACAAGAAATATATTCCCTTCAATTCTAATTATAAGATAAAATTAATTAGTTTCATGGTTTTAAAAAAAATACTTTAGTCAATATGCTTAAGCTTATAAAAAATGTTTGACTTTTCAATTTTGCTCTACACTAAAGTCAATAATTGCAGTAAAATGCGTATGGGAATTATAACTTGGCACGATTAGAGAAGAGAAATAGTAAAAAGAAATTACCTATTCATTAAAAATGTAAGGTATTTTAATCAAATATTATCCCAATAAAGTAATTACTTATCTTTAAATTAATCATATCTTTCTATATTTACCTCTATTTACACCCTAAAAAAATATAAAGTGATCTATTTAATAGGGACACTTAAAAAAAAAAAGATAATACTTACACCTTAAAAAACTAAAAACGTCTTATATTTTTTAACATCCAACTCTTCAAAAAATATCTTACATTTTTAAATAGAGAGAGTAACTATTATTCTATTTGGTCAAAAATATAAATATTTTATTTTAACTAATCTTGATTCAAAATATAAATAATCTAGTACATGTAAAAAAAATTACCTTTTTGCTTGTGTATTTATTGACCTAGATTATCTCTCAGGTCTCGCTCATTATAAAGTGCGTTGGTACTTGAAACTGAAGGTAATATATATATATATATATATATATTTTATGAGAATGGGAGCTTTGTTGATATGCAAAAAATTTCAAAAACATTAATTATATTTTGGATTGGAGGTGAGTATACCTTTATCTGATGTTTGGAGTAATTAGGAGATGATGGAGTATATATAATGATGGATTTTTACTTCTTGGCTCATGATATTTACGAATGATATTTTTAAAAGAAACAAAAATCTAAAGGTGAAGTGGACAAAATGGGTTGATTTTGTCAACAAGAGTTTCATTGGAATTATCAGGGAAGGGGAAGAGAAGTGCAGAATTCGGATTATGTTTGGTTGCGGATAAAGGATAGCGTAAGGGATAGGAATAGTAGTAAGTTACGGCTTCGTTTGGTAGTGCTTTGTCTGGATTTGGATGGCTCATACTTATACGTGTATCCATTTTCACCCTCTCGTGCCTCATCTCAATTCATTGGTCACCATTGCTCATACCTCTCGTCATCTCATCGTCCAAACTATTCCCAAAAACTCCCCAAATATTTGGCAACAACTTACATCTTGCTTCATATTTGATATTTTTGGAACACAACTTTGGTTATGATGTTCAATTTCATGAGGCTTAACAGTGCATTGGTATAATTTTCAATCAACAAATAAATAATGCATTTTTCTTTTAAAAACCCTGTTTGAATATTTAAATTTCAAATGTAAAAATATTAAAAATTGAATTTATTTCGTATTGTGCATGCAATAAAAAATATCAAGTAGTCATATTGTACATAAAATTGTGAGTCCTTGACCGCTAAGTAAGAAAATGGCTTAGGCCCCATGATGGGTTATAGTATTCCAGCTCCTTTTTTAATCAAAAGTAGACATGTTTGGGAACACAAAAGTCATGTTGGCAAATTATACAAGGCTACTCAAATATCCATACATGGTATGAATGAATACTAAGCTATGGAATCAAATGGAAAGATATCTATTCCCAGCTAGGGTTTTCTTCCACTTCTTCATAACTAGTTTCTCAAATTTAGTTATTTGTTTGCGTAACTCTCAAATTTCAAAAACAAATCATATTAAAAATAAAGTATATTAAAAAGTATGCAACGAGAAAATTCAAATTTGAATTCATCCAATATCCATAGCCAAAAACAAGACAAAACTAACACACCCAACAAATTTTGAAAACCATTATAACTTTTTGTGAACATTTGATTAAATTTAATTTAATGCTACTTTTATCTTAAGGTAAATGTGCAAATTTATCTTAAAACTTTTTTTTCAAGGACATTTGTTATCTTTAACTTTTTTAAGAGCAATATTGCTCTGTAACTCTTTAAAATAGTGCAATGCTGTCTTACCATCAAAGTTGATCGTTTGTCTAACTTAACTTGCCACGTAACATTTTTTAAAAATTAAAAAATGATAAAAGTATAAATTTATTTTAAAACTTTTCTTCTAGGAGCACTTGATATTCTCAACTTTTTGAGAGTAATATTGCCTCGAAACTCTCCAAAACGATATAATATTGCCCTATTGTCAGAGCTGCACATCACTCTCCCTCCTTCACAATCAGCCATTTATCTCATCTTCATTCCCCCTTTTTCTACTGTCAGCATTTGCAAGACAAAAACTAAATAAAAATCCTCATAGTTGTCGCCCACATAAAGACCATATTTACTTCTATCTAATTGATGTTGATCAATTTGAGTTATTAATTGTTTGTTCTTGTTTCTCTCTAGACAAGGGGCAGAGAGAAAGCAAATAAAGAACACAACTTATTATTCGAAAAGAAAATTTTTAATTGCCTATTTTACCTTAGAAAGAATAAAATTACTATATCATTTTAGAACTTATCACTAGTTTACCAATTATTATTGTTACAGTAAAAATAAAGAGAAAAATTAATTAACTGGTTCTTATAATTGTACTGAGTTTTCAACTCAGTCCATTTACTTTATATTGTCAGTTATCAGTCAAAAACTGTTGCACCTAGTGCTAAGCAAGATTAAAAAACCCGCATAACTCGCTGCCACATCACCACACTCCTTCTCTTGGTCTTCTCTCTCCGGCATCTCCTCTTTCTTCTCCTTCTTAACATATGTTATCACCATCCTCCTACTTCCTAGCTTCTATTCTTACCTTCTCTCTTCGATTGGGTGCTACTCGCCTGTACTGTCAAGAAAGGCCTTACTAAATCTCTACTTCCACTAACTTCATTGATTTGGTCCCGTTGCTTGCAAACTCCACAGTTCAGACTCTAATTCATTAATTGATCAAACACCTCTAATAGCACATTGAAGATGGCCACGGAGCATGAGATTTGTTCAAAATTAATTTCAGCGAAAAATTAGACCCATCTCAATGACAATTTAATTTCATTTTCAAACTTAAAAAAATGTTGATTTATTTTAATATCAGGTTCTTCAAAAAGACTGTCAAATTTGATGATAAATAAGTCTATAATCGTGAGTTAGATCTGGACGATTATGACTTGAGCATCCAATTTTCGGTGTAAGAAGGTAATTACAGACAGAATTGAAAGAGTCGACGAAGAGAGAGGGAGAGAGAAGGCGAAGGGAAAAAAAGCCATGCAAGAAGAAGCGTGCTGATGTGGCGACGAGGCATGCGGTTTTTTAATCCTACTCAGCACGGGCGCAACAATTTTTGACTGATGACTGAAACAATAACGAGTTAAGGACTGAATCGGTGATATCATAAAGGACAAGGACCGAATTACTGGCTTTCAAAGTACAGGGACCGCATTAAAAACTCGGTGAAATGATAATAACTAATTAATTAATTTTCCCAAAAATAAAACTAAAATTTCATGTCAAACAAGAAATTGACTTTTTGAAGAAAACAAATAAAAGAATATAAACTTTTACAATATATATCAAAATATCAAGGAATCGACTACAATTTTTAAAACAAAGAACAATCAAACATCAAGAAATATAAACCTTTCACCATCAGTTCAACCACAAAATTCAAAACTACAAAATAAATATAAAAAAAAGTGCATTTACATGTAATAATCAAAATTCAACGAGTAAAAATAAGACCTAAATGTCATATCAACAAGGACTAAATCTTAATCATTACTATATATAAATACACTACTAGCTACGATATCCATTATCCATCATTTCCTCGCCAGACCTACCGATAACCAACACAATTCTGGGTTAAATCTCCCTTGCTTAATCATGACAAACCACATTCATTTGATCTGCAACAAGCTAAATGTAAAACAATCCAACCAACCAAATCGCATGACTATGGATAATCTCTTAAGGATCCACATTACCCGTTACAAAAACCAAAAAATGCCCACACAACAAAAATCTCATCTATCCAAGGCTACAAAGGATAACGCTGAGAAAAAAAACTATGGTCGAAAGCACTTCAATTTACATTTTACCTGCTTCATTTTGCAACCTCCCTAACAAGCCTTACTATGCAAAGCCTGTGGGGTTGTGCAGAACCAGACTGAAGCACATAGTGCCACATCTAGGGCTACTATTGGTTGAATATTTTTCTCCTGATATACATTAGACCCGTGCTATCTAAGAAATAGCCATTTCTGTAGTTTTAGGAAATCCTATCTGATGAAGCAAGATCCTTTTGGTCAGGATTGAGATTGGTATTGGACAGTGATTTATCTGTTGATGACACCTCATTCTGTTGGTTCTCGCTTTTCTTTGAATTAAGAAATCTACCTCCGCATCCTCGTGCTCTTCTCAATGCATGCAAATGCCGGGATTCATGCAAATATGGCTGCAAGTTTAAAATAATGATCGAGTACATCATAGAAGGAGCACTAGGATACACAGGAACATGCGAGTCTATACATCTATGGCAACAAAAGATTTCAGCATCAATAAGACTAGTGGCTTCCAATACAACTTCCAAGATCTTTCATCACTTCTTTTTCCATTTAACAAGAATTATATGGAAAAGATGCACAGAATAATATACCTTGCGATTCCTGATAACTTTATTTAATGATTCAGCTTTGGCACGAGACTGTCTGCGTCTCAATATACCATGATACTGCTTTGCATTGACAAATACAGGCTCCTCAACTGCATCTGTTGGTAGAGGAGCACCAGCTTGTTGAATTCCCATTAACTGAAGATGGACCTGCCACAAAATATTGTTTAATGATCAACGAATCAAGAAAGACTTTTCACAGCCATTGCACTTTTATTAGAACTAAAACTAACCATTGGTTGTGTTCCATAGGGCTGTGGGGGATAAGGCTGCGTCTCATATGGAGCAAAGATGCTCCTATAGTAAGGATCTGGGTATGGGTAAACTTGTGCCTTCAAAAAAAATAAAACAGAAATAAGCAAAATGCATACAATATTAAATACTAGAAATTGGTAAGTAACGCTATTTGCTACTGCTGATATAGGATTTCTCAAATTCCTTAAAGTAATTAAATATTAATTAGGATGCAAGTTCTAATATGAGTACTTATGGGCTGAAAAGAGATAACTCCAAATGTCAAAACACAAAAGTATCAAATTTTAATCTTCAAAGCAAAATTAAAAAGGTTATTGAAAATACCATAGGATGTCCAGTTCCAATCTGTGGAGGAGGCGCTGCATACTGAACATTCTGGGTAACAATACCTGAATCAGAAATTCCGTTTGTAGATGAAGACTGCATCTCTGAGTTTGATTGATGTTGCTGCTCATTAGGTTCGTTTTCTGGCAATCATATTCCAAAGAAAGTTCAGATATTTTTTTTCTTACACACTTTGGCGAAGGGGACTTGGAACAAGTGAAATACAGTTTATCATCATAACTAATTTATCTGCTATGTCTTTGAAGAGGAAACTGATGTTTTCATCCCATCCTTGAAGAAATAACAAAAAATTATCAAGGAAGCAGAAAACATGAAAAGTGAGCTACTACAATCTTTAGATATATTAGTTGTATGCTTCAATTGTTTTCAGAAAATATATATACAGTGTGGTTGAAATTTGATGCACCTTCCATACAGGATAAAATTTTAAAATCTAGAATACCCTGGATTACAAAAGATACAAGTTTTATATACTGAAATATAAGTAAGATTCTTAGTAAAGTGAATAACAACGCAAGGAAACATATCACCATAGCTTAACAAGAGTCATGAGATAACAGGATATGAGACTAAAATAAAACAAATTCATATAAATTAAAATAAAGCTAAAATAAGAGGTTTAGGAAGGTATCACAATAAAAGGTTAATGATTTAAGGGCAACCTATAAAGAAAGAGTAGCATCTCGTAGGAGGTGGTCACTGGTCAATAAACTGTCGCCAAAGATTAAAGGAAGTACATAGGAAAACCCAAAAATATATTTTCAAGAAGAAAGGGGAAAACGCACACAGAGGAAGTGAGGCATAAAGGCAATGGCGAGATAGGGAGTCTTTCTGATCACTGATTACAACATCAGCGCCTCATATGCAAGATCTTATGGAAGTACAGAACTCTAGACCAAACTAATGGGAAGAAAAGCATTTAAATGAAAAACAAATATCCCAAACATAACAAGGAAAAAAACAAAACTTATGGGGACCAAAAGTGAAATTCACCACCATAATGGATAGTATTTATCATGTTTATGCCAATAGTTATGCTTATTTTCCACCTCTAAAGAGCTATTTCTTTTGAATAGGACAGTTTCCATCAACTACCGCATTAGACACGAGAAGATCTTTTAGGTTGTTCAAAAACTTTGGATACAAATATGATCCACTTATTATGCTTGAAAAAAGTAGCAACGAATAATCAATTAGATCAAGGTTTTTATTCATGAAAATACCAATCAGGTCATGATCAGATGAAGTCATAGTTTCCAAATTCACGTGCAATACTGTGCCCAAATCTGGAAGCAAAAGAAAAATTGTCAACAAAATCCAATAGCATTATCATTAACAGCTACAAGCTATACAGAGAAGACGGGGCAGGAGAAAAATAAGAAATAATTGACAGAATCCAAAATTCTCTGTGAAACCTTTATGTCCACAAAACCAGAAGACAAAAATCCACAACAGTGCTGGGATGGAAATAGCAAACAAGAAATATCAGCAGAAAAAAAGAATGACAAAATTGAAATTGATCAACAATTTCACCAATACAAAGGCAGCAATCATAAGCATAGAGCAGTCACAACTTCCAGGGGAATGAATCAAGTAGCAGCTACAGATTGCCACATAGTATCAAACTGAAAGCCTGGATGTTGCATGCTGTCATGCTACAATTTTTGTGTAAGGAAACTACGTTGCATCATACACCATGTCCCAATTCAGTAACATCAATGTTGGTGGTTTCATGAAATCTTCTTCTCAGAAATAACAGTAACAATCTAATTTAAATATTCATTTACGTCTTAAATAAAAAGGAATAAAATATTCACTTTAGTCGCTCATTAAAACCATGGTACATCTATGCATCCTCCGCAAAATAGGAGCCCATGCACACTTGCCCTCCTAAATTCACTCCCACTCCCCAGATGATAATCAATTTCTCTGTGCAAATATTGCAATTTTTCCCCAATTCCCAAATATCTCAAACGATGCCTATCCAACAAGAAAAGTGTGCCAAGCAGCACAAGAGAACTTAATCAACAGCTCTATTGGTCCCAGGCATAGAAGGGTAGAAAGAGTGTCCTGATAACACACGAGAAAAATAAGAATACATGTGTGTCATACGATGAGTTTTTAACCTACTAGAGTAAATCAATGCATACTGTAACCGCTGAAAATGGGACAAGAACACAATATAATACTTCTGTTTTAAAATGTGTCAATTCACGCTCCGAGGCACGGAAGTTCAAAACCATAATTTGCATAAACAGTCTACTCAGACAGAAAGATTCAAGATACACCCAAAAATTACATTTTGTTCAACTCAGTAAATCTATCAAAGTAAGAATGAACATCGAAGACACGACATCCCGACTAACGAACTACTTAAAATTTGAAAATAAATAAGAAAGGGAATGCAAAGGGGGTCCGCCCTGCTGAAGAACTGAAATTCACCCCTTTCATCATTCTCTAATTTCGCTTTGAATAAGTTTAACGCATAAATTAATGACAAAATCAACAAAGAAGAAAATTCCGAACTTTGAAAACTGGGAAGTTTTCCTCCACTTCGAATTCGGCGCATCCAAAGAACAATTAAGAATAGAAAATCAAATTTGGAACATAATTAAGGTCTGAGATCCGAAATTAACCTCGACAAGCTTGAACCGAATTCGGCTTCAGAGAGGAACGGAAACTCGATGCTGCGAGACAGGCGACCTCCAACAGAAATGGGAGAAAAACCACTCTCACCTCACTGTCCTTCACTGAACATTCACTGCCACCAATAAGCTACACAGAAACTTCTCTGAACCATCAAGCCCTCAACATTTTCACCAGCTCGCTCGCTCTCCTTTTCCCGATCGGTTCGTGGTGGGTGACGTGGCAGCGGGAACATTTGAGGTTTGTGAGGGAAATTTCGGGCAGGAGAGAATGGGTGACCGAGAATCGAGAGAGAAAATCTGGACCAAGGAATGGGTAGGACCCACTGGATAGTGGTGGAGATTAGGTCTCACCGCTGACCGTAGGGGGAGCTCAGGGAAGATGGATGAAGTGTACGGATCGTATCAGGTGGGCCCACCCACGCGGATTGGAGTTTTGATAGGGTTTCTGTTTGTTTGCGGCCACCTATTAAAATGCTAAATTCCACGTTTTATTTGTCTACGTAAAAAGTAAAAAGTAAAATTCTACAGGTACAATGACAATTAGGGACCTAAGGTCATTAATTATAAAAATGAACTATGGTCTTTACTTTTGAATTAAAAACATGCATTAGTACTAAGATATCATCTACTTAAAAAATAAAAAATTAATATTATTAAAATTATTATTATGGGATGATAATATTATTAATGTTGGAAAATCAAGAAATAATAGTTGTAAATGAATTGTTTCCTATAATGAAATTAAAATTTAATTTTAAAACTTTTTAAGAACACTTATAAATAACTAAATATACATAGTCATTTAAAAATGTACGAAAGTTATTTATGAATATGAATCCAATTACTTGTGAATTTTTATGTTTATTAATATATAAGTATATCAATTGAAAAATAAAGAAATGATATAATTAAAATTACTGTCATACGATGAAAATATTGTTAATTTTAGTTGAAAACCCAAAGAATAATAGCTAAGAATAGATTGTTTTTTAATATAAAATTAAAATTTACTTTTAAAACTGTTCAATAACATTCATGAATGTATAATAGTCACTTAAAAATTTATTAAAATTATTTTTGAGGGGCATTTTAGACTATTTGTATTTTTTTAATTTTAAGTAAGGATTATGATTAGTTATTGAGATTTTAAAAATTTAGAATTTTTAATCGTAATCAATGTCCTTAAGAGTCTCTAATTGTCATTTTTCCCAATTCTATATTGCGTGGTTGTGATAGGTTCCAATTCTCACTCTGATTTGTCTGTTCAAAACAGACTTCTGTTCTTCAGGATTTAATTTTTTTACATATTAAAATTATGTTATCTTAATTTAATATTTGTTAGTTTCAAAAAGTACGGTGCACCGTTTAATTTATAATAGAGGCTATGAGGAGAAGAGAAGAGACAACACTATAAGAGGAGAATGAAAGAACTGATAGCTTTCTCATTTCAATTCAATGAATACAATTAAAATATTTTATATTTATAGGCAGGGATATAACCGACCAAATCAAATAAAATATATAAAATATTAATAATAATAAATATTACAATAACAAAACGATATGGACATGCACAAAATCGTCTGACATTTATAATACTTTCTCTCAAAAGTTTAGATATTGTACCTCTTTAAAACTGTAAAAAAAAAAAAGCTCAATGAGATAAAATCTTTGTGAAAGAAAAAGAATACACAATATTTTCAACCTTAGCAAAATTGCCTTATTAAAAATCTTATTAGGAAAACCTAATAGGAAAAAACTTTGATTAAAGAAAAAGAGTATAGCATAATATTTACTCTTCCTGATCATGGTATCACTCCTTGAGTTTTCTTAAGTCATTGCATCCTAAACTTGTATGTCATTTTATTGAATATTCTTTGTTGCTTGTGCCTTTGCGAGCTAATATTCTCTTCTGACTAGACTATGCATGAACCATTGCTTTCATGTAATTTTTTGAAATATTTCTTCTATACACATCTTTTGAATATGAATTCATTTTCCACTTATCATATATTTTGTGAGAGTAACAAAACAATCTTGATATACATGTATTTTCACAAATAAATAACTTTTTGGAGGTCAACTCATGTGGTTCAAATTAAACATATATAACACATATGCATAATTAATTAATTTTGATCCTAAATATATTTAGTAAAGCAACCATTCGTAATTTCACAGACAGACCATATCATATACATAATTTCATTGCAAATCAATGCAATACCATAAATGATATTACTTCTGTCCCAAATTATATGACACTTTTAAAAGAGTTTCTTCATATCAAAATATAAGATATTTTAAGTAGATTAAAGTTTTATTAAATGCATCAATGTTAATATTATGCTTTCCTTCTCTATAATTAATTTTCATTTCTTTTCTTTTCAATATATTAAATGATGAGTATTTTTGAATGTTTATATTTTTGTTTTAAAAAGATGAGGTTGTTAAGTGTATTTAATGAGGTTTATTGATATGTGAGATTTTATTTAAAAGAGTCTTATAATTTAGGTTGGAAAGAGTGTTGTGATATGAAAGTAATCATATATGGTGCTTCAAGATCATATTTTCTAATATTTCATGAATGCAACGTTTATGAACTTATAGTTCATATATATACAAGAATCTATATAATACATAGATAATGCATTTATTCAATTTTTTATTTTCAGCTATTCATTACATCGCCCTCATTTTGGGATAACAAACCATACAATATAAGCCTTCTAAATCCATTTTTTTCTTATAAAAATATCAATTTGTTTCAGTTAAAAACAAACGGGAAAAAGAAGTATCTATCCCAACATCTACTCCCAAGGTTATTTGAACAAATATTGATTTGTGGTGGAGTTTGTACAATCAAGATCTTTGGTTCTTGTTAGGAAACCAATTTTAGAGGTGTTTACAATATTTTATTGGCTTGATGCATGTTAGTATTGTAACATGGAAAATCTTGTTTTCCCAATATTGGTCTAATCATCTCATTAAAGGCACAAATAATCTTAATAAACTATTGTGACAAATAGGCCTTTCTTTGTATCAAAATTTATTTAAACATGAGATATAAAATTACTAGTATTTTCAAGTGAATCATCTAAATCAATAGACTAAAAAAATGTGCACATAATATAATTTTTCTCTTACAAACTTCAGGTTGTGAATTGATTGATATGGATCAATGATGGATCTATTAATTTCATTGTATCTTTGTATGGCTCCCATGGTGCCTATATGAGCTAAAATCAACTTAATATCTTTTATATATCTGGGATCCAATCTTAATTATAGCTAGTGATAATCTTATAATTTTCTTCAAACAACATATGAAATTTTCAATGAAATTAGAACCGTGTGCAGTTTCTAATTTTTAGAACAGGTTCAAGTCCGTAACAGTAAGGATTTCTTTGAGTTTGAAATAGCTCATGTGTGTTTGGTTTATCTAGAAGGGGAGAAATGATAGCGTCTTCAACATTTTACAGGTGGATCCATTAGCTGTGATTATTAAAGCTAAATCTGCAGTGGCTGAGTACTGGAATGCATGTGAGCCCGTCAATCCTCTGTATGATGTGGATAATAGCGAGGTACAGCCGTTTGCTTGGCACCCACCAGTACCCTTTGGCTTCTTGAAGATAAATCTGGATGGGTCCTTTAAGATGAAGAATAACGCTGCTGCTATTGGGATAATTTACTGCAACTATGCAGGTGAATACCAATGGGGTTTTGTTGGAAAAATTAAATCCTTATCTGCTTTTATGACTGAGGCCATGGCATTGAAAGAGACAATGATGCTTGCGGTTGATCTGGGTAATCAAAATGCGTTATTTTTGAAAGTGATTGCTCTTCCCTCGTCTTTTGTGTTCAGAAAGGCCAAATTGATCAGCGTGATTGGTGCTGTTTCGAGAGGCAGTTCATGACATCTTAGATTTTATGGCCTCCAACGCTGGTTTCTCTTTGTCGTTCACACGACGCGATGGTAACAAGGCTGCAAACTTTCTGACAATTGGTGCTGGTAAGGATGTGTTCCCTTGTAGGTGGGTGATTTCACCAACACCTCCTTCGTCTTCCATACTAAAGACGGATGCTATGTACAATCTAATTAGTTGTCAAACGCAGACTCTTCAGCAGTGGATGCATGCATGGGAATTGGCTAATGTCGTTGTTTTTTTTTTTTTTTTTGTTGCCTTTTCTAACTTTGTTTGCTGCTGGTTTTTTTCTCTTGTTTTGTCATTTGGTTTCGTTTTTTCTTTTTTGGTCTTTGTATTTGTCTCTTGGAACTTTTTCTGGTGTTTTAATGAAGTCTGCTATTGGCCCAAAAAATAAAAATAAAAATCAATTACGCCAATAGTTTGAGCCTTTTTTATTATTGAAGTTTTGAAAATTAGAATTTTTTAGTATAAAATGTTTTTTGAATCTAACTAGTGTAACTGTAAGTTTGAAAATATTGGCTGAAACTACTCATTTAAAAATGCAGTTGAAAACAAAGTGCGGAACGCAAAATGTTACTCAATTCCTCTCTATTTCCAAGTTTGAACATGTATTTTATGCAAATATTAAATATAAAAAATTGAGAAACTGTAGAAAGAAAACATTGTAATTTATCAATGGGATTGAATCTAGTGAAATAAAAGTCATCCCTCACAACATGACGAATCAAAATTTGAATATTGCTTGTTTGTTATAACATAACGATGACTTATTAATTCTTGAACATTACTTGTTATTTACCAAACTTTACTTATAAATTTGACATGGTCAATTACAAATTGAAATGCTTAAAAATTCATTAATAAATAAACTTAAAAAAATAACAAGTGCTGATCATGAATTAACAAATCAATGTTATACAAAATATATAAATTTTTAAACCTCTCAATTTGTAATTAACCATGCTAAATTTATAAGTAAAGTTTGAAAAATAACAAATGTCATTTAAGAGTTATCAAGTAATTGTTATGCTATAACAAACAAGTAGTTTTGAAATCTATTACCTAAATGGACAAGTTATTTTAATGACTTTTAAATATTAATTTACAAATGAGCACTTGTAATGTATATTAATTTACAAGTGGCCTTGAAACTAAATTATTACCTATGCGAACAAGTTATTTTAATGATTTTTAAATGTCAATGTATAAATGAAAATTTGCAAAAGTATATGAAATTTTAATCTTTTCAATTTATAATTATGCATATCAAATTTATAAATAAAGTTAGGAAAATAAAAAATATTATTCAGGAATTAACAAATCACAGTTATATTATAACAAATAAGTAGTCTAAAAACTAAATTTATTACCTATTTGAGCATGTTATTTTAATAATATTTAAATATCAATTTATAAATAAAAATTTATAAAATACATTAATTTTCAACCCTCATAATTTGTAATTGATTATATCAAGCTAACAAGTAAATATAATAAAATAATAAATTTCATTTAAAAATTAATAAGTCAATATTTTTTATAACTTGAAAGTGATTTAGAAACTTAGATTATTACTTTTTTTCTGTGTGGTATAATTAAGTAGATTTTGTGATTTAACAGCTATAATCCTTTTGGTTGGCCAATGGGTCATAAGTTCAAACAACACTCCATTGACCACCTTTCTTAAATTAATTAGTTATTAGTGTTGGGACTTTATCTATGATCACTGTGAGGTTTGACCTTTATCTTAAAAAAAAAAATGTAAGGGTATTTTTATTATTTTACACTCAAAATTATTTACTATGTAATCTTATTATCGAGAGTGTAAAATCAAAATGTTTTGGCTCTTTTTTGTGAAAATGTTACTTTAGTGATTTTAGGTTGTGATTTTTTTAATATATATTAATAATCAATAATAGAATTACCATCGTTTTTACGGTTTCGGACTAAATCAAAATTTTGAATCCTCTCATTCGAACAATAATGTTTAGTATTTTGGCATAAGGGCTAAACTAAAATTTGATACACTGCAGTACGAGACTAAAAAATTAATTGTCCCTTATTATTAAGGAAAGATTTAATGACTTTATTGCCTAGTCGATGGCGCAACTCATCGAGCCGGTGACACTCCGGAGGGCCAAAAGGAAAAAACCGTCTCTTCCCAGCCGCCAAAAGACCACTAAGACGTGGCTTGTCAAACTTCTGCATGATCAAGGCATCTAACCCCCCCCCCCCCCATATTTCATATATATATATATATATATATGCCCTTAAAGTTCTCAGATTCCTAGCAGTTTTCTTTGGCAATTAGTGACTGAGATCAAGGGGCAGGAGCTACGTATTTTCAGATTTTGATCCAACGATGAGTCATTCGGCTATGTCCCAGGTAAACCCAGTGACTTTATCTTCTTGATGCTGACACTCTATTTGGCCGAATGGAATACATGACGAATCGAAATGGAATCGTGGTTTGACTTTTTTGTGTATTTTATATGGGTTTTAGGGGGAACTTAAATTTCTGCTAGTTATATGTCAAAGCGCAAATTTTCAACCAAGCTATGTGGGGTTTCTGATGTACAAATTGAGATATTCTTTTTCTTTGTGCATTTCTCAGCTATTTAGCGAAATTTTATTAATAGACGAATATGTGGGCTGTGATATCTTTTGCAGGTGGCTGTAACTGTTCCTGTCAGCAGCGATTTATCTCTGAGAAGATCTGCTCTTAAGGTTTGAGATTTCTTACCATTTGCTTTGGCATTTCTAGTTGGTTTGTAATGCAAAACTGAGCCCGAAGGGTTTTTGACTTTCGAGAAACAGGTGCTGTAATTGGCCCTTTGTCGCTTTGTTTTAAAACAATCAACTATCTGAAGGATTCGGATCTGGAATTTTGCTAGAACTTATGACAACTCTGGTGAAGTATGACATGACTGTTGAATAAACGTGAGGAAACGAATAAAGATCGATTAAAGATGTTCTGTTAATGAGTGTAGGTGAAAGCAAGTTTCACTCTTGATTTGAATTACCACTGTATCTAATAGGACTGAAATGAGTAGAAGAGATCACGGACAAAATTTAGTTTCATTGTATTTTGTAAGGCAAATTCTAGGTGTGAATAATGATAATCCTCTATCTAGACTTGCTACTAGGCATTTTTAATAAATTGTGGTCTGTGCCAGTGCAGTGATGTTTCATCAACTGTGGCTACTTGGCACACGTCTGTTCCTATTGGGAATTGGATTATCTTAAATTCTGACTTTTTCATCATGTCTAAACAAATGAATGTTTTGTTATGCTATTCATTTTTATGTAGCATAGAACATCTTAGAATCATAGTGCAGTTTCTAGCATTACAGACTATTTTTAAATAGTTACAGTCAGAAATTTTTGTTTTCTGTTTGAGTTCTATAATTTAAGTTTCTAATGTTGTAAATTTTCAGCCATGTGATGTAAATTTTCAGGAGAAATCGTGGGCAAAGGTGTTGACTCTAGACTTGAAATCAAACAATCTGCGCTCAAGAAATCATCATCTGATATGCAAGTCAGTGCAACAAGCAAGTGTACCTAAACTTTCTGTCTCCCCTTTAAAATTGGAAGATGACCCTGAGCCTCCATTGAATATATACAAGCCCAAACAACCCTATACAGCAACAATTATTTCTGTTGAGAGGTTAGTTGGCCCAAAAGCTCCTGGGGAAACTTGTCATATCGTGATTGATCATGGTGGAAATGTTCCTTACTGGGAAGGACAGAGTTATGGTGTTATTCCTCCTGTAAGTCCCTTTATCCCATTGGTAGTTATCTAATGCTTCCTTACTTGTGACTGATATTTCTAACTAATAATGTGCATGGGGCAACAGGGTGAAAATCCAAAGAAACCTGGGACTGCTCATAATGTTCGACTTTATTCCATTGCTTCCACTAGGTATGGAGATTTCTTTGACGGCAAAACAGCCAGCTTGTGTGTGCGTCGTGCTGTTTATTATGATCCAGAGACACGAAAAGAAGATCCTTCTAAGAATGGGGTTTGCAGCAATTTTTTGTGTAACTCAAAGCCTGGAGACAAAGTGCAGATTACAGGTATCTCATCTTATCTTACTTGGTCAAAGATCAAGGTTCTACAAGATGATTCAATTCTTTTTACGTTTTTCAAAAATTTTATTCCCAGATTTTTGTGGTACTAGGTTTTGAATGTCTTAATTCTTTTGTACTTGCTCAGTTGTTTGTGATTCCTTTTACCCTAGGCTTGTTTTACAATTGCCAAAAAATGCGCAAAAGCTGTGCATAGGCTTTGTCATTGCCTCCTTGAAGTAGTGCCTGCAAATAATCTTGCTCTAGGCACTTCTTTAAGAATCATATTAATGGAAATTCTTGGTAGCTACTTGATTAATTGTTTCTGGGTTAATCCTCTGGACTTCTTCTGTAAAAGGTGCGCTGTGCAAGTGAAAGTGATAAATGATTTAAATAATAGATCGGACAATTGACAATATGTGAGATAAGCTTTCTTAATTCCCTTGATAAATAATGGCTGGAGTTCAAAATCAGACAAACTTGATGACTTGTTAATATGCTTGAAGTTGCTACACTAAGGATATTATTTCTATATAATAGTGCGTCAAGTTTCACAATTAACAGTTCTCAAGTTCCAAAAGTTAGTCTGTTGTGCACCATCAAACTCAATGGTCTGGAGCATGGTAAAGACACGTGAAAAGGACATATATAATGGAAAGCATATGGGCCGTGTTACTAATGTTCATGAATTTGCTTTTAAGCGGCTTGGTTGTAGTCCCTCTCACAGATGCAGCTCAGTGTAATTATTATGCCCTTTCAGTTTTTTGTTTCTTTGTGCAGTTCAAACGTCATTGTAAATGCCATTCTTTTTCTCCCCTGAATTGCCACCCCAAAATTTTCATGTTTCTTGCAACATTCTTTAAATTTTTTGCTCAGTTCTTAAAAAAATTCCATTTCTGTGTTTATCATTAAACTATTTCTCTGCGATCTTTGTGTAAAATGGGTATAATTAAACGGCTGCATTATCATGTTAGTATTAGCTGGTTTTCTGTTCTGGTAATAGAGCTGCTATTTTAGGTTTGAGATACTGATAAAATGATATGTGAAAAGATGTATAACAAAATGACAAGGTTAGTTTAGTGTGCTTTCGTATGAAGATTTGATTATCAACTTTTATCATTTTAAAGGGCGGTTACAATTTGATTTTTATTGGCTAGGAATTTAGTCTTTCACACTTTTTTTGGCAGGCCCCTCAGGGAAGATAATGCTGTTGCCTGAGGATGACCCAAATGCTACCCATATAATGATTGCCACCGGCACTGGAGTTGCTCCTTTTAGAGGCTATCTCCGTAGAATGTTCATGGAATCAATCCCTACATTCAAATTTGGAGGTTTAGCATGGCTGTTCCTTGGCGTGGCAAATAGCGATAGCCTTTTGTACGATGATGAATTTACCAAGTATCTGAAGGACTATCCAGACAACTTCCGCTATGATCGGGCTCTTAGCAGGGAGCAGAAGAATAGGAATGGTGGCAAGATGTATGTTCAGGACAAGATTGAGGAATATAGTGATGAAATCTTCAAACTATTGGACAACGGGGCTCACATCTATTTCTGCGGTCTTAAAGGAATGATGCCTGGGATCCAAGAAACCTTGAAGAGGGTTGCTGAGCAGAGAGGAGAAAGTTGGGAGGAAAAACTTTCACAACTTAAAAAGAACAAACAATGGCATGTTGAAGTCTACTGATGATCTGTTTTGCTGAATATTCCCATCTGTCTGGAGAAATACATTCCTCACACCTAGGCATCCCATGGATTTGTTTCAAGTAAAAAACTTAGGTGCTCAAAGTTGTTATATCATCTTTCAATATAATTATGACATGTGGATTTTCTTTTTAATGAAGATGATTCTGTTGTGAGAAAGTAAAAGATGTCCGCATGTTATAGTTTTATTGAAAAAAGTTGATAACAAACTCCTAAAGACTTTATTCTAGTCTTCTTCATTTTCAATAAATTCAATAAGTAGTTTCTATGATAATAATTGTTCTGTGATGATAGAGATTATTTTCTTGATCAATACAACACTGAAGACCCAGTATTTGGTGGTGGTTAAGAAGTTCTTCTGCAGAGGAACGACTTTTGACTGCTGTCTTTTATTATGCTAGGCAATGCGCAATCTCACTAGCTCTTTGTTTAATGAGAAAAAATAAGGAGGAGAGAAAACTGTGGAAGAAAAGTAGAAGAAAGAGACATTTCTCATCTCTAGCATCAGTATTTTCTTTTAGTTTTCTCCCTTTAGGGGAAATTAGGGGAGAACAAAGGTGAAAAATGCCTTTTCCCTCTAGTTTTCTCTTCTAATTCTCTCCTTCCTACTTATTCCCCATTCCAATCAGAACATTGTAAGTAACAGTATGAAACTTTAGGAACTGTTATGAGAAGAAAGTGGCAAACTCTTTTGGGATCACTATAAGTTTTTTTTTTTAAGAAGCATTCTTTAGTTGAAAATGTAGAGTATTGGATAAATTTTATGTTTCCCCTCCATTTATACCCTTGTTTTTTTTTTGTCTTTAAATTTTTATATTTATAGGTTGGTAAAAAAAAAAAGTTTCATATTTAAAGAAAATGCACGTATTATTAGAAAAACTCAATGGTATGAGTGGAAAGCTGTAAACATTTTTAAAAAAATAAGATTTCAACTTACATCTTTTGTAAACTGTGAATTAATTAACAATAATAAATATTATGGTCTAGTGAGAGTATGCTTTAAGGACAACTTAACTCCTGGAAGGGCTTTGAAGCCCTGGAACAATTTGCTCTCCTTGCCGAGTTTATGAGCTTAAATAGCTGAATGTTCCATGCTGGTCTAGCCCTTGCAAACCTGTTTAAAAAATTTAAGCTTTTGGATCGTAAGTGTGTTCTTAAGCTTTGTTTCAAAATGTTGGTTTTGCCTTTGGAAACCTGTCTCCTTTTATCTTTCAATAATACAAACCTTGTTAAAATTGCATCAGTCAAGTGCTCATTGCCCTTTTATCATTGCACATGTGAAGGCAGTTTTCTACAGTTGACAATGGCATGTAACTAGTTTAAGTTTCTTTTTAACTAGAAACCAAGATGATTATTTTAGTTTCTGTATATAATTTATAAAAGTTGAATATAATATTCTTTAACACTATACAATTTATGAATAATTGAACTTATGTCAAGTCCCTCGTCCTATTCAGTTTGTAGAGTCAAGCTTCTTCAATATTTTTATTTTAAGTCCACTGACATGTTATTAATTTCTAAGTTGTAGTATTGTGTAAATTCGAGGCTCGAGGCTTTTAGAAATATGGACAAGAGACAAGTGACTAGTGAGGAACCACGAACTTAACAATAAATAAATAAGGAAAAAAAAAAGGAAGGGAGAATTGATAAATTCCTTTCACGAAAATTTGGTTCAGTAAAATGTGAGAATGATAATAAGGTTTCAAAAAAAAAATTTATATTAAATTTTTGTGTGAAATTACATTAATACCCTTTTGCAATTTAGAAAATTGTAGTCATTAGTAGAGCCAAACTTACGAATACTTATATCAAACTTATAAATGATATAAAATTAGTTGGACTTTATTAATATAAAGTTATAATTTTTTAAATTATTTTAGTAATTAGTGAAATTAAATTTGTGAATACTATACCAAACTTATAAATCACATAAAATTAGTGGAACTTTACCTATTAAAAAAATTATCGATAAAAAGTTGTGATTTTTTTAAATCATTTTAGTTGCTAGTAAAACTAAACTTGTTAATATTTATATCAAACTTGTAAGTCATATAAAATTAATTACAGATGGATACTAAAATGATTTCACGCATAAATTTAATATCAAAAAAATCCTTTAAAACTTGACTAAATTGTCAAATTTTTTTTAATTTTAGAAGGATTTTTATGTCATTCTCTCTCTCTCTATATATATATATAATAAGGAGCCTCAGCTCAAATCTTATTTTTCCCTAATACTTCTTTATTTTTCGTCATTTCACTAAAAAAATTTCCTTGTTACTTACTGCATTAAAATAACCAAGATTCAAATATCTCGGGGTATCTTGATTTACTTAGTTTGAGGGAATTTGCCAACGTGGACAAAAGTCAGAGATTACTTTGATACTTTAAGATTGTTTGGAATCAGTTTTAAATTTAGACAAAGCAAAGGATAAAAACTCTAAATTCTAAAATAACTTTTTCTTTTTCTTTCTTTTTTCTTTTTTGAAAAAAAAGAGCTTAAAAGAGCGAAAGCATGGCGAATGGGGAAAAGACGAAGAACAAACGCGAAAGATGAGAAGCACGACAACCCCGCGGTTCGTCTTTCGAGGAAAGCTTAGAGGAATCTCAACCTGAAACGACGCCGCATTCATCGCCACCTTCCTTGTTTATCTTCTCTCCCAGGCTTTCCTGCTCTGCCACCACCCATACGCAAGCAAGCAGAGCATGATTTTGCATCGAGAGATCCACTTCTTCATGGCGTCACTCCCGGGATTCGCCACTGCCGTCATCATCGGGCTCATGTTCGCCGGAGAATCGATTGGGAAGGATCTCCGGCCATCAGAACACGGCCTTGAGTTCCAGAATTCGCCATCGGCATGGTTGAATTATTCATCGGAGATGAGATCGTTCTTCAATTCCTCGCAGGCATCCAATTCCTCGGATATTATGACGATGCCGAAGCCCACGAATTCCAGCGATTCGTCTCGGTCGTCCTGGTGGAGCAACACCGACGGCGGCGAGAGGAACCATGTGAGGAATGCTTTAGTGGTAGCCAGCTTGGTGTGTGGAGTGACAGGTGTCATTCTATTAGTGGCTACGGGTTTGCTTTTTCTCTCAAAGCACCGAAAGCATAAACATGAAGTAAACGAGTCATGCAGTGACAAAGACAACGACAAGTTACAGTTAGCGGTGAGGACTGTGGACCCTTGAATTTGTTTTTGTTTTACTCTTGCAATTTCCCTTTACTTTGGATGTAGCAATTCCACATTGCAAAGAGTAACAGTGTTTTTCCCCCCGGGCTAAAGAGCAGTAATAGTGTAAAATTAACTACGCGTTATTAAATATCATTATTGAAAGATTCTTCAATGTTATTAAAAAAAAAAATCTTCAATGTTGCATTTTTTTTTTGTCGATGAATTAAATTAATTTACCGTGGCACTTGTCTGTACAGTGTTTAATTATACTTGTATCCCTAATTTTTACCTAACATGCATCCACAATGTGGTGTATGGTCCCTGCTGGGAGTTTGATGTCTCTTGCCATATTTTAATATTACACTAGTTTATTATTAATTTAAACTTTTTAGAATACTTGAAGGGCAAAACTTCAGCCAAAAAGCGAAAGAAAGGCAAGACTTAGCTATTTAACTTTTTATATTTGATATGCTTTTGATTTGATTAAAATCAAAACAAGCGAATTTTAATATCTTGATAATATTATTTAGAGAAAATATAATTATTGATTTTTATAGTTTTATCAAATTTTATTTTTAATCCTTATAGTTTTTTTTTTTTCAGAATTTTCAATCTTTATAAGGATAGAAAATACTAAAACTATAAGAATTTAAGTAACAAATGTCATTTAATCTTATTTAAATTATAAAGATTGAAAATACTAAAAAAAATATAAAAACTGAAAGTAAAAATTGATGAGATTATTGAGACTAATGATTTTATTTTCTTTATTAATTATAAAAGTTTGTTGTAGAATAAATAATATATAGATAACCCACGTGACTTAATTTAATTGAACGCTAAGTATATAAGTTTTTTTTAATTTTGAATCCTTGCAAGAAATGGCTAGTTATTATTAAAAACATTAAATGTTTGCTTTGTTCTAATGAAAATTTCAAAATTCTAATGACAGTATTATAAGAAAATATATAATTAAATCCAATCTTATATCCTTGTTATCATTGAATTCTTCAATCTAAAACTGACAAATGTGCATTTGTTTAATAATAAAGTAACAAATATATGTTTTAATTGAAGAACCACGCAATTATTTAAAGTTATTATATTTTGTGGAATTGTAATATTTTAATGTAATTAGACAATTAAATGAAAATATATGAAATATTATGCATTCAACATCTTATTCATGAAGGACCCCATACATAAATTATTCATATTCTTCAGTTTAAAAAAGAACTACACGTTGCTCTCAAACATCTTGGGAAGATATTATTTGCAGTTGACAGAGCACCAGAGCCTGCTCCTTATTCTTAAAAAAAGGGGGGGGGGGGGGGGGAACTTATGTATCGGCCAAATAAATTGTTCATCAACTAGCTAATGCATAAAAAATTAGAAAAGGGCTTGGTAGCCACAATGGACATAAACAATTTAAGGGTATGTACACAGTGAAGTGTAATCCGGACAAGGTTTTACAAAGTATCGTTTTACAAGTATCAATAATTCATACACAAGTAATATGCCATAATGAGGGGGAAAAAATGCACCCAAGCTTAATTAAATAATTCAACAATAACAACTAACATTTATGTACCTATTGATCAAGAGGCATCCATTCAAGTTCTAGATCTAGTTCTCCAGATTCAACATTCTGGAGCTTGAGAGCCATTTTCTGTAAAATCTTTCCATCAACTATATTGACTAAGCTATCCTCTATAAGAGCATTGTCATCAGATTTAAGCCATTTTCCAATCTGCATATCGCCAAACATTTCTGCATTTCCAAATGCCATTGCTGACGTTATCATAGGTTGGAGATCAATTTCTGCCTCTCCCATTATATCATCCGCCGAAAATGTGTCATGGTCATATACTTGCTGTGATGCAGTCAGTTGATGAGATAAATCCACAAATCAGAAAAATCACTTGAAGCAGAAAAGCTACTCCTATTATTCACCAAGTACAAATTAAAACTTACCAACTTTAATGATCCATATTCCTGGGGAACAGATAGCATAAGTTCCTCATTCCAGACTGGGTTCAAGTTACTATTCACTACTGTTGTCTGAACTGTCTGAAGGCAAATATCACCGAAATCATTTTCAGAGGGAGATTATATCCTTTAGCTATATATAAAGGATAAGGGATAGAGAGAAATAGGTTTTAAAGCTATCATTGCAAGAACAAATGCTGAAAAGAAGAACCTGGTTGCCAAGTTTTAAGACGACATATGGATCGCTAGACATCATATCTCGAATAGCTAAATTTGTGCCTTTAACCACTTTCACCTTCAGCAACCCAATAAATTCTACCATTCCTTCCTGTTATCACTTTCAACATCAGAAAAAATCCAAGAAAATCACTCATGATACTACTGCATAGACATTGTTACCAAAGAGTAAAGTTGGCTGCATAATCTTACCTCATCTACTTCCAAAAATAAATACTTTCACAATATGCGGCAGACAAACAAATTTGATGTTTCAAAGGCTTTCACGATCTAGTTTCTATCAAATCTACCTTTATCCCCCCCCCTTTTGGCCAACTACAAGTAGAGAATCAATGGAAGCAATTTATTGAAAACAATCACCGATTTCTGCGGACCACTAGTGCTTCGGAAACTATCCATAAGTTTGTTGGAAGAATTTGACTCCTGAGAGCTTTTTCCAGATGCAATGCGTAAACCTGGTTTCAAAAAGTCTTGAAGCTCATACTTGGATCTGCAGTCAAAATTGACACAAGTTGCGTGAGCCATGACCTAACTGGTACAATAGTGCCACTATGCAGAGACCCAAGTCCTAACTATCACACTTGGCAGTTCATACGTACCCAAGAACAATAGAACAGACAACAACAACAAGCCTTTATCCCATTAGGTGGGGTCGGCTACATAGATTGCAAGACACTATTGTACTCTATCATTTATCAAGCTTTTAGGAATATTATTAATTAAGAAATCGCGTTTAATAACTTTCAAGAATGTTCTCTTAAGCCTTCCTCTACCCCTCTTAATCGGACTCAAAGTTATATGTTCCACTCTTCTCACTGGTGCCTCCCTTGGTCTTCTTTGTACATGCCCAAACCATCTCGACCGATTTTCTACCATTTTTTCCTCAATAGGTGCAACCCTCACTTTTTCGCGTACGTGCTCATTTCGAATTTTATCTTTACGTGTATGTCCGCACATCCATCGTAACATTCTCATATCTGCGACTCCAACTTTATGCTCTTGCTATCCTGTTAGAGCCCAACATTCACTACTATAAAACATTGCCGGTCTGATAGCAATGCGATAAAACTTTCCTTTAAGTGTATTAGGCACCTTACGGTCGCAAATAACTCCTTTAGCTAGGTAAAACTACTCATACGTACCCAAGAACAATAGAACAGACCGTGAGTGAAATATATAACTAGGTAAAATGAAAGGAGGAGGAAGGAAATTTCATAACAACTATGCTGACAGTGGCAGGGGCAAAAAAATATATCGCTTTTTATTATGGACCTAAAATATCAGATGCAAGAGGCAAGAGTTTGGAGGTAAAAATTAGAGAACAATACATACCATAAGTGTCAAAGTTTATGTATTTGAAATGAATATGACAAAGTGACGGTAAAATTGATGTCAATGTTATACATAGAATATAAGTTGAGTGGTTAAAATGGAGAAAGGCATCAAGAGTCACTTGTAAGCATAGTGCCTACCAAATTTAAAGGAAGTTAAACCAAACTACTATAAGACAAGCAATGTCATATGTCAGTGAATATTGGGTATTGAAGAGGTAAGGGCAAAAAATAGGGTTAATAAAGATGAGAATCTTAAAATGGATGTTTGATCACACAAGATAAGATAAAATCCAGATTAATTTATATACAAGGAAAACTTGATGTGACCCCCAATCGAGAAAAAAATAGTAGAAAATCAATTAAGGTCATTTGGACTTGAGTAAAAAGGCTGTTAGAGGCACCAATGAGAAGAGTTGATTATATTGTCTTTAACCCTCACTTATATGTGGCTTTGCCACTAAAGAATGGCCTACATAATTACATACCTCATGGTGATCAATGAAATAATAGATTCGCAAAAAGAAGCAAACAATACTCTGATCAAGGCATGCGTGGTACAATTCATTAAAAAGGGGGGAAAGCACAACTAACCGGATGAAATTTGCACGCTGTTCATGACTGGCATCTGGTGTTGGCTTACTATATCCTTCCGGAACATGAGCCTCATAAATTTTATTAGCACAAGCATTTCCTCCAACTTCAATCATTGCATCTACTTCATCATCTGACCATTCATCCAATGTCACAGACAAAACCTGAAAATAAAATATAACGTTGTCCGGAGGGTTTAATGCTTGTGTAGAAGAAATGATTGTGTTCAGCACTTAATTGTCTTGGCACTAGGCAAGCATATCTAATTGAAAACAAATAAGGTGAAAAAGGAAAAAACAGAGATAACATATATATTGAGAAACTGGAAGAAAAGAAAGGGTCAAATCCAAATGTTATTGGTTATTGAAACATTCAATTATGGTGTACTTACTGCTTGACTACTCAAAGTCCAAATAGTTCATATTTTAATCATATAAAACAGTACACACATTTCATAGTCTTCAAAATTAGTTCAGCATAAGAAAACTTCAAATAAATACTATGGCAGAAAAACAGTAAATTTGAAGCATGTTGTCTGTTAAGAGACATTAAGAACAGAAGGTTAAGAAAAGAGTTTCCCTGATGGGAGGTATTATGAATTCAGACAAAATATTGTAATAAAGCATATATACTAGTAGTGCATTTTTGTGCTTATCGTGCCACTGTAAAATTGAGGTTGAGGGCCCAGAATAATACACATGGTCATCAAGATTTTCAGCAGCATTGTACTTTATCTGCCCCCCCCCCTCCCTCTCCCCCAAACTGACGCTTCCTTCATTTTGCCAACATGGTATCAAAGCTTAAGTGGCACCCCCCCCCCAAAAAAAATCCAAATCCCAGCTTCTACAAAAGGAAAAGGGAATCTCTTGACTTGAGTGTTCCTTGTGTTTGATCATTCACATTGATTTGCCATTCTTTCATGGGATTCAAATATGTGGAAGTATTGCATTTTGCTATATAGCTCTTGATGTTGTGTTCTATGTTTTAGTGTTGGTTAGCTGCTTTATTTGTAATTG